ATTTAGCTTTCACTCGATATGTCATACAGATAAAACCATTTTGTACATAAATAGGCATATTTCCTGTGTTTTTATGAGAAAAATAAATTATTGTACAAGGTCCACATACGTGGACGAAATGAAATCTTCGATCAAGCATGATGCATCGAGATTTTTTTTATTGTAATATTCGGTAAGTGCCACTGAAAAAATATTCCTACTTATTTAGTGCGTGAGACGAATGGTGACTCCTTTAGTGAGACGCACGCGGATGGGAAGCGGGCAACACTCCATACGAACGAACGATATAGCGCGCATACATTTCGTCACTCCGTCGTTAGAATACGGACACAATCACAAACACAAACACGTAGTACCCATTGACTCTATGTTCTAGTTGCGCGTATCCCTTTCGCTTTACTTCATTTCATCCGCATGCGTCTCACTCACTAAATGAGTGACCATGCGTCTCACGCACTAAATAAGTTTAAATATTTTTTCAGTGGCACTCATCGAATATTACAATGTATGAATTCAGCAATATGTCAATTCAAAGAAAAGCACGGACAACAAACCAAAAGTCATGAAACTGGTGATGTGCGCACGACAAACCAAACGGAACAACCTGTTTGCTAATTTCTTCAGTAGCAACTATGATGACTCAACGACTCAAGACGCTCAGCGATCGTCGTCACAGCAATCTGAGGATTTCCAGCTCGACATCAATTTTGTGCTTGAAGAGCTACAAGCTGTGAACACCAGGAAAAGAACGGGTCCCGATGGTATGCACCCGCTGATACTGAAAAACTGTGCGAGTTATTTGACGGCTCCACTCACCGAGATTTTCAATGAATTATTGTCAACTGGCCATTTCCCTGATAAATGGAAGCGCTCGAGTGTATCACCCATTTTCGAAAAGGGGGCCAGAAGATTGAAAACTACCGTTGCATAGCTAAGCTCCAAACTATGGCGAAGTTCTTCGAGCATTTGGTAAACGTCAAATTTCTGTCACTGGTACAGGACAAAATCACCAAAAGGCAACACAGCCGCATGAAGTCCAGATCTACTGCATCTAATCCCACCTATCCTATCCACTATGCCCAGAGAGGCATAGCCTCTGGTGCGCAAATAGACATTTTTTACACGGACTTCAGTTCGGTTCAGCAAATCGTTTGACAGAGTTAACGGTTAACCACAAGAGATTGATTCTGAAACTCAGATCGTTCAACCTGCCAGACTTTCTTACTTGAATCGAATCATACCTGTCAAACCGTGAATCGTTGAATCATGGGCAACGTGTGCTTCTCTGCCATAAGAACCAATGTATTTGACGTGACAGTGAATAGCGGTGGCGCCTAAATAGAATCTGCGGCAACTTTAGGAACTATCAATACTTCTTATTGTTGCGAAATTCGTGACAACAACAAAAAGTATTGATAGTTCTTAAAAATGCCGCAAATTGCTAATACATCTTATTTAGGCGCCACCGCTATCTTGCGCCGGCCAAAAGCATAGGTTGATCATGGGTCGAGTGAAAGTCGAAATTGATTCCTCGTCAAAAATTATGTGGAAATAGAATCACATCAGTCCATCATAAGTGAGTTTTCTTCAGTCATTTGCTTGTTTTATGAGGAAATGTCGCTTTTAAACAAAATTTATGGGGAATCAGGTATTCAGTTGTTCAATGACTATAATTATTTTCGAAAAATAATAGCAGTTTGCCTTGACCAAACTCCTGAAAAGTGGTTATTTTGAGTACTTCCCATACAAAATACAATAGTACCGCTTTTGACAAATTTTAAACTTTGACGAGTTTGTCCTCGGGCCTGGTGCGACTACAAACTCTGGAACTTTGCACACGGCCAGTATAAACTCCAAATCACATGAAAATGTCCCGAGAACAATAACATTCGGCCTCTGAGATGAAGTCGCCATACAAATTGGCAAAATTTGACAAAATGTCAACTTTGACGAGTTTGTACTCGGACTGGGTGAGAGTACAAACTCTGCGGCTTTGCACACGGCCAGTACAAACTCCGAATAACATGAAAATGACCTCAGAACATCAGAATCTAGCCTCTGACATTAAATTTTTTCGTTGTTTTTTTATTTATTTCCGAAATTTGACAAAATTTTAAACTTTGAGGAGTTTGTCCTCGGGCCTGGTGAGAGTACAAACTCTGCGGCCTTGCACACGGTCAGCACAGACTCCAAATCATATGAAAATGTCCCGAGAACAATAACATTCGGCCTCTGAGATGAAGTCGCCATACAAATTGGTAAAATTTGACAAAATGTAAACTTTGACGAGTTTGTACTCGGACTGGGTGAGAGTACAAACTCTGAAACTTTGCACACAGTCATTACTAACCCAAAATCATATGAAAATGACTCCACACACAGAAAAGAATCCCCGAAAATTTTAGGTGTTCGCCGTAAAATTTGACATTTATATATAAATTTCTATATACATTTTACCGGCAACACTTGAATTTTCCGGGCGATGACATAATTTCAAATATTCCAACAGAAATTAGCGCCATCTGTCATTTCAAGCGGTAAAATATATATAGTATTTGATAAAATGTTCGAAAATATGTCATCGCCCGGAAAATTGAAGTGTTGCCGGTAAAATGTATATAGAAATTTATATATAAATGTCAAATTTTACGGCGAACACCCAAAATTCCCGGGGATTCTTTTCTGTGTGCAGAACATCAACATTCGGCCTCTGAGATAAAGTTGCCATACAAAATGGCCGTTTTTTCAAAATTTTCAACTTTGCCGAGTTTGTACTCGGGCCCAGTGAGAGTACAGACTCTGGAAATTTGCATACGGTGAGTACAAACTCCCCCGAGTCCGAATCTGGAATTGGTTTTTCATTTTTCCGACCGGGGGGCCAGTGACATTTACCTTCAGATTATTCCAATGAATTTTATTTAAAAAAATCATAAATTGTTTGTTTCTTAGTACTAGATCCGCGACAGTACACTTGCGTTCACTACGTTGGGCGCGTAGTAAACGTTTGAAGTTTCGTTTCCACGCCCCGGGATAAATCAACTATGAGCCACTAGAGTTGCATCGTAGAAGTCAAACGAATGAGTAAATCAACTCTGAGCCACTAGAGTTGCATCGTGGAAGTCAAATAAAATTACGACCGAGATCTACACATTCTGAATTAAGCCACGAACTTCCCAGGTATGACCGAAACCAGTAATCGCGTGTCGCCTAGGGAATAAGGGTATTATTAATTTTTGAAGGAATAAACTGAATCGAGAAATTATTCCACCGAAACAGCGAGTTTTTTCTTTATGTACGAAACGATATACAACCAAACCACAAACTGGTAGACGTTTAGGAAAACGCAAAAGAGTACCCAACCGATGTTGGACCAATTGTTGTTCCAATCGAACGCGTGACTCGTGCTACGAGCAAGAAAGCTTTTTAACCGTTTGTCTGTAATAAGTCGAAAGTTACAAATGCTGTAATGTGGGGTCATATGGACCCCAACAGAAAATCGATAAAAATGGAACAAAAATTATTTTTTTCTTAAAAATATTGTTTTGATCCAATAATTCAAGGCATTCTTCATCTTTTAAGCCTATTTTTGTCAATATTGATTCAAAAATTACTTAGATATGATGATTTTAAAAACAAGGACGCTTTAAATAAAACACAGAAACAATATTGGCCCTCTAGGTGAGGATAGTATGAAACACAAGAGCTTCAATATTGAACGTCAACGCGTGCAGCGTTCACTTCTGTAACATTGACGTTCAGAATGTTGACGTTCAATATAATGACGTTTAAAGACTGTCATTATGTGCGCTTAATTGTAAATAACAACCAATTGTTGTTAACTCAACTCTGTTTATATAAATATGAATATAATTTTAATTGTTAAAATAAAATAATAAAGTGAAAGAAAAGATAAAAAAAAGTTCGAATACAATTCGTCATGCCAGTCACAACACGCGCCAAATCATCCAATGCTCGTCCCACCAGCAGTCATATTGCTGATTTCACATTTAAGCCACAGGCTGCGATAAACAATTCCAAAGCGTCAGCCACATACCGATTCACTGAGCCCATCGTCATTAAATCCGCGTCAAATTCGTTTGAACAACACAATAAACTGGGCAGTAATAAGTCGGCGTACAAATGCAGTGAACCAACATTTATAACCGATAAGCCAGCAGGTGATGTTGCCAAGACTGAAACACCTAAATCTTTAGCTAATTTCAAATTTGAATCGAAACCGATCAAAGGAGTATCGAGTGACAGTGGCATTAAAACAACTCAATCATTTGGATCAAATGCCAACAAATCAACGGGTCCGTTTGCAATGAAACCGTCGTTCGGTGCAAGCTCTGACACTGGATTCAGTGCATCTAAACCAGTGTCATGGTTTTCAACGCAACTCCAAGATTACGACACATTCGAGTCAATTGCTGTGAAACAAAAACAAAGCAAATATTGGGAATGCAAATATTGTGAAACATCAAATTTTCGGGTAATTATTTTTTATCTATTCGTGTATATTTCCCTTTTTAACTTTTATTGCAAATTCTCGTCACATTTTGTTTGTAGGCACTCTCAAAGTGCGTTATTTGCGGAGCTGTTAATCCAAATGCTTCAAGCAATGGCAAAACTGAAAACAAAGCCAAAGAACCGGTACAAAAGAAGCCAGTTACTGCTCAATTTTCCTTTGAAAACGAAACCACCTTGCCTTCAACCAGTAAAATAGAAACCAATCCTGAGCCAGCTGCTATCGCATCAGTTGCAGCTTATGATGTTTCTAAGTCGATTGTGGAGCAGCAAAACAGTTCGTGGTGGGAATGTACATTATGTTTGAGCAGCAATTCCAATGACACTGAAAATTGTGAATGCGATGACATGCCGCAAGGAGACACCGCATCGAAAGACAAGTCAAAGAAGCAATTTGGAAGTTTGGCGTCAAGTCAGAAATTCTCATTTGGTTCACCAAACGGCGGCAGTACATTTAGTTTTGGCTCAAAGCCAGAAAATGCGAGCAGTACAACAGCAACGGCAACCGCAACATCAACCGTAAAGTCGACCACATCAAGCATATTTGGAAGCAACAGCTCTCAAACACCAACATTCAAACCAACGGCAATCGAATCGGCAGCACCAAGCCAGTCTGCAGGTTTTTTTGGTTTTAAATTGGGATTTGGATCGTCGTCGTCTTTTACGAATTCATCAATATTTGGATCGAAGGTAGCATCAAAAGACGAAAGGGATACCGGCCCATTAGCGACGAACAGCGACAAAGGTATTATAGTTTTGAAGAATGTTTTGGTCAAACCATCCACAAAAGCACGAGCTTCGCGAACGTCAACCAGCTCCACAACAAATACAATCAACACACTGACAACCATAACTGCGTCAAACGCAGGCAATATTTCAACGAACAATGGTTCGATCACAGCCCCACCACCAGACAATTTTCTTCCGACAAACGGTAAGTCTTTCACATGAATGATTAAGTATGCACGAATTATTAATGGAAATGGAATTTTCAATTGAACAGCGCATCGAGCTGAAAAGCGAAAGTCAAAAGACGACAGTCCACCGCCATCGTTCAACGGAAGCGACAGCAATGGCAGTAATAGTGGAAGTGCCACAAATGTGAGTATATTCTTTCCAAAGCCCTTATTGATTCCATTTTCAATGAATCGCAATGTAAAACCGTTTTTCTTTCTTTCGTTGCAGTCTGATTCAAATGTGCAGATTCCAAAGAAAGAGAAATTCTCGTCTGTTTTTTTTGAATACTCTGAACAAGGTAATGTGATCCAATTTTGTGTACAATTAAGAATGTGAATTTAATGTGATTGTTCCTTCTTTAGACTGTAGCAAAAAGTGTAAGCACGCCAATGGTTTGAAATACCATCAGAGTCGTGTTCATGGAGCCGGTTCGATAGACGGGGATTCAGAACGATTGCCCAAATCGCATCCACCACTTCCAAAGCATGCAGCGGATATTCATTCGTCACGATGTTCGTTATCTTCGTTTGAATCGATCGTAGTATTTGGTATGTGCTTCTTTCTTTTCTCCGATATTTTTTTATCATTTTTTTTGAGCCATAAAAAGTGTTCGAATCTAACAGAATCTTTAATTTCAAAATTGCAGGGCACAGCGATATAACCCCAATGCCACTACCTGCGCGACCTAAGCAAACAAATGATGCTGCCAGTGCAGCTGCTGAACCAACGAATGTGGCCAGCAATCCGGCATCGGTGCAAACACCAACACCTTCACTTGGAACAGAGCCCAGTTCAGCGCTCGCCTCAGCGATACAGGAATCAAATCAAACGAGCTCAAGTGTGACACCTGAACAATCGAGCAAATTGCTATTAGTTGGTCAACCTCAACCAAACAGTTTTATTCTGACAAATAGTAAGTTTCATTCTCTTTCACATGAAAGATTAATATATATACAAATCGTTAATGTAAACGAAATTTTCAATTGAATAGGGCGTCGATCTAAAAAGACGGCAGTTTACCGACGTCATCTATCCTGCGTGCCAAATCCAAAAAAACCAAAAGCGGCCTTAAAGTTTGCACAGCATGTGGTTACACAACATCACATGGCGGACACTTTAATGTTCATATACGACAAAGTTGTTTGGCGGTTGAGCCAGTCAGAGACATGAACTGTCCGATTTGCTGTCAGCCATATACTTACGACCAGTTGCGCTTCCATATATATCAATATGTTAAAAAAACTTCTCATGCTAAAAATGGCCACCAGAATTTTAAGCCTTCGGATCATCAACATTTGTTGGACAAAATGATAGAAGAAAAACAAACATATAGAATTTTGTGAACCACAATTTGTTAATTAATTTGTAAATTCGATTTGTTTCTCAGCTCTTTTGGCTCAATGAATTGTATAAAAATAATAATAAACATCGAATTTGTTTAAATAACCGGTAACTCTGAAAATTTCTTATTTCAATCACTGGATTCTATTACGATTTGAAATTCAATAAGACAATAAGGCAATAATGAAAGTGAATGTGTTTGAAAATTTTAAGTCATACAAGCAAAGTTTAAATTTGCTATGGTACTCTAGATGTTCGGCTACAGCAAGCCGAATGGATGGAATATGGTATTAGATCGATGGGTTCCGACATCGTCGATGACATGCAGTCTACGTTTTCAGCTAAGACTTAGTACGGTGCAATTGTTTATGGTGAATCAAGATGCGCAAGTGCGCATCAATGAAATTACACTTCAATGATTCATGATCCCACGTGAATGGCCCAAATATTTTGTGTTTTGCTAGTACAAGCAATTGAATAATAAAAGGGAACGTGTTCTATCATAGAACTTCTATGCCATGTTTTTAGCACTACATGAAATGTAGAGCTACTAATCTGCTTTTTTTCTAGATACTTTTTGAGTGATGAAACGAATTATGGTGAATTTGAATTCTATGCTCATATAATTTATTTAATTTAAACCAAAGGCAGTATATTTCAAAAAAGAAATAAAACCAAGGTCCTGTCATTCATTTTGCAGATAAATATATTACTTCAAAGTTACTTTGATGAAATACATTTCATGTAGTGCGCCAAAAAATAGTTTGTTGTGAAACAACAAAATAGATTAAGTAACAAAAAACTCAAGAACGCAGAGCGGAGCGAAATTTGTCTCGGAACCATTCTTTTTTTACTTCTCCGTTCGACGTGTTTTGATACACATCAATTTCAGTACAATTTGCAATCGAATAAAATCGACGATCCGAGGGGACAACAGAAAAAAAAAGTTGAAGAAACTTTTCATTTGTAAACTTCAATGTTCATTAACGGAATGATGTCGCTTTAGCATGCAATTGAATTTTTTTCGAAGGTCGTATGTTGGCAATGCAAATAATGCAACACTCGCTAGGGAGATAAGCTCAAACAAAATAGCCGTTCGTACGGCGAAGAAAGAATGAAAAACAAATGCAACGTTTTAACATTTCTTCTGCACGAATACTTAATGCAATTATTCCGAAGCAAATTGCAAGGCGTCCAATCGCAATGGGTTGCGATGACAACGACGACAAAACAAAAATGCGATACATAGCAAATCGTAAATTTAATGATAACAATTATCAGTGACAAGCGTCGTACGTCTAACGGTTTGTTCACTTTGCTGATCTCTCTCTCTCTCGCTGTCTTGGCTTAGCTTTGCACTTTTTTCGCGATGCAATTGCACAACACTGTAAATAAATATTGCGTGATTGTATTTTTTGTCGTCGTCGTCGTCGATACAGATCGATTGCGTTGTTTGTTCATCTTGCATAAAATTTGGCTGGACACATTGATCATATCTTGATTAGTTTTTTTTTCTCTCAATCAAACGCATATATGTCCATTGAACGTGGCAACTTGGTGTGTGTGCGTGCATGCGCCAATGTATTTGTCTTTGCATCATTGCAAGACGATAATTTATTTGCAAATGACTCGATTGAAATCAATGTATACACACAGAGAGGCGAAAAAAAAGTGCAATTGATTTACTTTCCACCCTGCTGTTAATAAGTTTTGTGCTTGCACTGCAACTTCGGTCGAATACGAACGAAGATGACGACGACGAATTAACTGAAAATAAACACGCCAATTTAGCGCACATTTTTTTCCATTAGTTTTTCACTTACGCTACCGCCGCTGATATTGACGTTTTCCACTTGTTTTTTTTCTCTTTTGAAGCAGCCATCAAACATAATAATAATAAGAACATGTCAAAAAAATTTTCAATAAATTTTATTTCAAATGAAATTCGTTTGTTTGTTTTTGTTTTGTTTGGACATATCAAACTTAAGGTTAATGTTTAAATTTAATCATCAATTTTGATGATGAATCGTTATAAATTTTTTTTTATAAACTTTTTAATTTAATCAGAAAAATGAAGGATAAATATGGATTAATGTACTGATATTGTCTGGGTGATAAATATGCAATTAAGGTGCTATTTCCTAGGCGGCCGATTGTAATCGGCGCCGATTGTGATCGGTAACCGATTTTTTTGTGATCGTGGACGATTACAATCGGTGCCGATCTTTTCAAACCAATTTCCTAGGTCGCCGATTATGTCACCGATTTTCTCACAATCGTCGCCGATTTTTCAATAGAAAACGGAATAGTTATTCGGAACATTATTTTATTTATGGTCGATTCATCAAATCACAAATTATCACATGGATACAAAATATAAATGTTTAATTTTCAATTTATGATCACAACTTTTGGATATGTTTTATTTGGATATGTTTAACGATTAAAACTAAAACTCACTTATACTAGGTTTTTCATACATTTTACGTATAATAAAAGATGTAAATTGTTTTCCTAATTTATTTTGAACTGGATTTAAATTATTCATTTTTACTGAACGATTTAATTTTCTTAATTAAAAATCTCTCAACTATTAAGTGATATCAATGATAATAAATTATTCAAATTCGAATAATTTAATTACTCAACGACTGGCGGCTTTTTCGCACCAAACGTTTGAACGCACTCGCGTAGAATATTTGCATTTATACCTCCCACACTGTCGTAATGATAGTAAATCGAATTTTTCGTTCTGCTTTTGACGTTATTTTCTAAGCGATACGCTAAACATATAGTGCGTTTATATGTTTCATTGAATCCGTTTATAACGCTGAATGTATCTTTTTCGCGGAACACGAGGATATTAACTTTGAAAATTTCTGAAATTGCAGTAAGTGATTCATATCCGCCGAAGTACCCTGACTTCGATAGGCATTCGTTCAAAAATGTTTGACATTTTGTCTCCACTTCATCTGCTGTGAGATTTGTTTCTGGTTCTATTGCATCTTGTTGTTCGTATATTCTACCTCGGATTGCGTGATGATACCGTTCGAAATTCTTTTGAATATGGCTAACAACTTGAGCTCTCAATTCGTTTGATCGCTCACTCATGTCCGATAGCGCACAATAGAACAGTTGATGTGCAATTCCACCAAATAAGCAATTTCCATCTTGGGGTATTTTTATCACTTGAATAAACTTCATCCGTTTAGATGGTTCGGTTTGAATTTTCATGTTTGCTGTTTTAGCTTTGTTTGCGATCACACTTTCAGAAACAACTTGCAGCTGTTGTACAATTTGTTCGTTCAAAACGTTGTTTTTTTCGTCATTTGATGTAATTTCTTTGAGATCATCGCTTGTAGTAATAGGACATTGCATCTTCTCAGCACCTTTTTCGGGCCCTTCTTCGGAATTATCGCTGCATTTCACCTTCTTAGCGCCATCATTTGCAGCCTTATCTGTCGATTGTCTCTTCGTACCTCTTTTGCCTCCATTTGAAGCTTCTGGTGACTGGTGTTGTGATAGCAAATGCTTCTTATAATTGGAAACCGTCCAATAAGCAGATCTTGATTTTGATGGTTTAAACGATTGTACAGAGAAGCCTTTAGGAGTTTCACAAAATACGCAGGAAACTTCAGCAGTATATTTTCCGTCTGCAACACTGTTAATTTTAATTGCGTCTGTTGAAAATGCTCGCACTTTTGGCACGCCAACCGATTCGATAAGCGAATTAATCTTCTCAAATAAACTTCCCTTCAGCTTGTCAACAGGCGAAACACTTGAATTTGATTCGATGACTTGGCTTCGGTTTGGTGTCTTTTCAATTGGATTTTGATGATTAGAATTTTCCTCAGCTGCTGCTAATCGAACTCCATCCAAACTCTTTGGAGTCTCCATCAGTTTGTCAGCAGGCGAAACACTTGAATTTGATTCGATGACTTGGCTTCGGTTTGGTGTGATTTGTTCGATTTGATTGTAGCGAAAGTATGTTCCAGCTGACAGTTGAATCGTATCTTTGCATGATACTGCGTAATTCCCCGGCACTTGAAATGGCTTTGAATTTGTTGAATCGCTCAAAAGGCTTCGTACTCGTTGGACCAACCGGCGAATAAGGAGTATTTCACCGATCATAAATCGAAATTTGGTGGGGTCGAATGCAAATTGTCCGAAGGAATGAATTTTATCTTTCGCTTGGAAATCAGATCCATTCGATTGGGAAAGACTTTTTAATATCCCAAACATTTCATTTTGAACAAACTTTTCAACACGAAATATTATTTCATCGTCGATATCTTGGAAGCCCAGAGTGTGTGAAAGTCCATTCATGCTGAAATAATCAAATCAACGGATGTAGAATACTTGCAATTTTCATTTACATGAATACATTCATAGTGTGAAAAAATTTTTACTGCAGGATATTTTTTAGGTGGTTGGGAATAGGAAAACCACAATCCTCTTCCAAAATAATCCAAAAATAATGCGCTTCTGTTGTTAAGTCCATTTTCCGGTGGAAACCAGGTGTCAAATTGTTTGTTGTGAGATCTTTCGTTTGTTTTTAGTTGATATGATGCTCAAATAATTCACTTTTCTATTAAATCTACTCGTTCCGTAATTTTGTTACTTTAACGAGATCAAATATGATATCTAATATACCAAAAGTAGAAGATAATGACAAAATCACCAAAAAGTATCATAGGCACCAAGCACCAAAACAATACAAAAATAATCCGCTTATGTTGTCACATCCATTTTTCGGCGGAATCCAAGTGTCAAATTGTTTGTTGGAGAAATGTCATTTGTTTTTAGTTTATGCGACTGACACTGGCTCA